GCGCGTCCAAGTGGCGCGCCCGCGCGTCCAAGTGGCGCGCCCGCGCTTGGGTCGTGCATAAACCGCGCCCCCTTCTGCCTCCTTGATTGAATTTTGGAAGAACAAGGAGGCGCGCCCGCTCCTTGTTAGGAGCGCCCGCGCCACTTTGAGGCGCGCCCGCGCCTCCCGGTGGAGCGCCCGCGCCAGGCCTGTTTTTCGCGAAATTCTGACGGTTAAGTCTTTAATAAAAGACTTGGTTTTAGATTCGAAAGATACATAGAATTTCATTCTTCTTCTCTCCCAAAGAATTTCTTCACAATTCCTCACAAACTTCTTGCAAACTTTTGTGAGAAACCTCTTTCAATTAATCTTTCCTTGTGAATTATTCATCTTCCATTGATTCTTAGTGCAAAGAACATTGGGCTGTCTTTTGTATCTCAAAGAGTATTTTCGGATTAAACCCAAGCACCGTTGTGGGGGAAATTAAACTCTTTAGGAAAGTATTCATACGCCTAAGACAGAGTATCAAGGAATTAGACTCAAGTGGTCATCGATTTTCTCATGTTCATGTTGGTTGTAATGGCTTGGAATTTGAGGCAAGTATAGAACTTTCACACTAGTGTTTTTCATTGTAATTTTCTGAAATACTTTGATACTTTGGTGCTTGGCTGTAATACTTTGATTTGTATTTTAATTATACATGTTTTAGGTTTTGTTCCCACAATTGTTAAAGTTGTTCTAGTTGTTGAATTACTTGAAAACCTAACACCAAGTATGGCATGATGATGTTAGGTATCCTGTCCTTGTACGGAAACTGATTAATATCGTTTCTTCCTATTCACCATATAATTAAACACAGTTAACAAGGCAGAAGTAACCTAAAGAACAATGTGCAATGTAAAAAAACAACCGTACCAGTTCTCAAGGGCATATTCACAGACGATGAAGAATGACTACGACTAGATGACGATGTCCGACCACGACCACGACCACGACCAAGACCACGAATGTACTCAAACGCACTGGCAAAAAAAAAAAAAAAAAAAAAAATTTACACACCAGGGGCGGCGTCTGGCAGAAACACCAGAGCCACTGACCTGGCGCCTGGCAGGACCGCCACAGCCAGTGGACTGGCGCCTGGCCAGGACGCCTGCCTGGTGGTTCTGGCGTCTGAACTGGACGCCAGTGCGGTGGTCTTAGCGTCTGGCTTGGACGTCCAGGCTACGGTACTGACGTCCAACCTAGGCGCAGGCGCCACTGCACGACCACCTCTTTCAGACGCCGTTACGTACAACGTGAATTTTAACGGTGCTTTACCTCGTTTTTCGTCGACGACGACGTACCTCCGGCGTCCCCCGCATCTCCGGCCTGCCCTCCGGTCTCCCCCAGCGAGCCTGTACGGCTCCACATTTTTTAGATCGAGATTTGTTCAATTTTAGAAAATGGGCATAATTGTCATACCAAGTCTAATTTGTGGGCTTTATATGGAAATTTGCGGGCGATGTTTAACAAATCCCTAAAATTCATATAATATATTTTTTAAAAAAGAATTTGACTATTAGATCATACTATATCATATTAACAACGAGCTATACATAAATGCATCCATATTATTTAATTATTATTTTATTTATCTTACTTTACTTAAATTTTCTCATTAAAAAAAAGTTAAACAGTACATATCATAGTAGGATATGGTCCGAGACGTATCGTCGTGTGCCCCACGAGTGTCGGTGTCTGACACGGTGCCCGATACGGACACGGCAGCTGGATGAAGTATCCATGTATCCTAGTTTCCATAAGGTCAAATTTACTAATTTAGATCTAAGAGTAAGATTTTTTGGTATAAGAACTAGTTTTTGACTTGGACCACGCATTAGGTTGTTGCACCTTGCACATAATTTTACTTTACAGATATACAATTTACAATTTTGCTCATTACGCATAGCATGAGAATAATAGTTGGTTAATCAAGAATCAATCAATAAAAAAATTTCAACTAACTTAAACCTGAATTAGATATGAGTGGTGTTAAAACCTAATCCAATTAACCTAATCTGAAATCGACCTGAAAAAAGTATTCGATTTAACTTGTATAGACACAATAATATACTAAAAGCCGAATTCAAGAAAAATCATCGATTTGACCTTATAATCGGACCTAAACACCTTAACACTCAAATTGACACCTTCAGACATGACCCGACTAGACCCGAATTACCTCTAGTCTAGCTTAAGAACGAAGCGACCGCATAAAGTCAATATCAACGCAAAACCTCCGTTTATGCAAGTGTTGTAGAGTTTGGGAAGAGAGAGAAAGTGAGAGATGTCGTACTTGCTACCGCACTTGCACTCTGGTTGGGCGGTCGATCAAGCCATCCTCGCCGAGGAAGAACGTCTCGTCATCATCCGTTTCGGCCATGATTGGGATGAAACTTGTATGCAGGTATCCTTTCCCCCCTTTCTATCAATTCATCAAACCCTAATTTTTTAATTTCTCATTCTAATTATGAATTTCCTTATTTGAATTCCTCTTTTGTTGGATTTTATGTGCTTGTTTGCCTGCTTATATATATGGAATTTGAATTTTTGTGCCTCAATTTGGAGTTTCTTTTTTTATCTTAATTTGTGCAATAATTTGGCTGTGTAAATTGTTTTTCGAAGAATAGGGTTTTCTTGGGTATTAATGTAGAATTGAGGGTAGAATTGTTGGATTTTCATACGTAGGAGGGATCGTATTTCTGAAAATTTTGACAAATTTTAGAATTAGGAGCTTTTTTCTTCCTTTAATGCTTGTCGTAAAAACATGAATTTGGGTTTCTTTGTGCTTATGGTAGTTGTTGTCTAGTCAGGAAGTGACTGTTGAGTGTCTGAGTCTTGTATAGTACTGTAAAGTGCATCTAAAGTTGATATCACCTTCATTTTGCAAGCATCTTTTCTTGAATACCCTGTTTGTCTTTCCAGTCTGTGTGCCCGCGTTTCTTCAGTAGCTACTTTCTATTCTACAAGTAGGATGGATGATGAATTGATAGTTGGTGATCTTCATAGGTTGATGCTTATGGGGCAATTGATGCTTGCATCATTTAGATTATTAGTATCTAAAAAAGAATAAAAAGGTTTCTAGTATAGAGTATAGACATGTAGTCAGTATTCAATACCGAAATGTGAATTACACATGTTAGGATCTTAAGTCACTGTCTGGCAATGTTTCTTGAGGCAAGTACTTGTGTTTTAGATTGAGAGTGGGAGATTGTTTTTGTCATGATTAGATTCGATAGTGTTGTAGATGGTGCTTTGGCTTCACTGGCCCTTTGTTTTTGCTTGTATAGGAAGTCGCTTTTTTCCCTTTGGTGAAGCTAGCTCCACAAGTTGCTTGATTGGTATCAGGTTTTACTTGGGAAAGAATGAAAGATTCATCTTATAATTGATGGTTGATTAGACTTTTGGATGTTTGACGTGGGTATATGCCTTTGAAGTTTTTTTATCATGCTAATGAGGGTGGTTAGTTTATTTTTCCGAAGGGTACTTTTGACTCCTTGGGTATGGGTTAGGATCTGTCTAATTGTGGACTGTGGATTGTGGAATCAGGATTCAGGCATCTTTAGTTCTATTTCCAGTTATATGGTTTTGGTTAGCCACTTAGCCCTATATCTGAAATCAGATACCTAGTGTTCATGGTCTCACGATACTGCCTGTTTCTCATTTGATATCTCCCTTTTACTGGATTATCTTTTATATTAATTGCCCTGCATACTGATGAAGAAATGGAATAGGCATTGTAGATGATTGATCCTATACCTAAGAATCATTATAAGATCCATCGTCAGTTGGTTGGTCATGTATGTGTTTGCAAATTTTAACTTTTGCCATCAGACAACTATTTATTAAATTTTTTACTTGCGCATTGCAGTGGCAAATCTAAAAAGCTACTTATTATATTTTGAAAGCAATTGCTGATGCTGAAGAAAGGAAAATGAGTTATACTTGAATTGGTTTATGTCTCATTATATGTGTATTCTTCCCGTGAAGTATGTCAGTTATGGCCTTTCCAACCTAGGCTATAACAAAATCAGCCTCTTTGTGCCTCTAGGGGCAAGACTGTGTATACCCAAAACTGCACCGGATAAGAGTGGACAATTACTTTTCTTTACACACACAGAGAGAGAGAGAGAGACCCCCGGGGGGGGGGGGGGGTGGGTGGGGCGGCGGTGGGCTGTGGCTTACAGTTAAATGACACGCAAATTTCCTGGCATCTCTTGTTTCTTTTTGAAATGTTAGAAAGTCTTATTTGCATTGTGGACATTAAAGTGTTGATTATTTCTGATTCCCTTAAATTGTTGTCATGAATTTTACAACAATTCTCATTCTCCTTCTCAGATGGATGAAGTGCTGGCCTCGGTGGCAGAGACAATTAAAAACTTTGCTGTGATATACCTTGTAGACATAACTGAAGTTCCTGATTTCAACACAATGTACGAGCTGTATGACCCATCCACAATTATGTTCTTCTTTAGGAACAAGCACATAATGATGGATCTTGGCACTGGGAACAACAATAAGATCAACTGGGCCCTTAAGGACAAGCAGGAGTTCATAGACATTGTTGAGACCGTCTATCGCGGTGCTCGTAAGGGTCGAGGTCTCGTGATTGCACCAAAAGATTATTCCACGAAATATCGCTATTGAGTGGTTGGTCAATATACTCCCAGTGGAACTTTTATAACAAGTGTATTATTGAACTCGATAAATCTGGGTTTACACTCCTGTCAGTGTACCCCTGATGAATTCATGTTGACAGTGATTGCTCTATTGTTGTAACTGTTGCTTGAACAAGCAGGCAAACTTACATGTTCTGTGCTGATGGATTGTCAAGTTATGCATGATTTTGTTCACATTATAGTTCTAAGTACTAGCTGAGTATATGATGATTGCCCTTTTAATTCCATGTCAATTAGTTAGGCGATATGTTGAATTGATCAACGGTAAACAGTAGAAACTCAGAAAATCTGCCATTCAACATAATTGATAATGTGTGAACATTAAAGCACATGTTCATAATACAGTTGATTGAGAATGTCTAGATTATCCTGTAACAACAAATTCCCTGTGTTTCCTTGTACATAACGTGGTTGATCGTTTATGTTTTAGCGTTCAGATATCCGAACATCTAGCTTTATTACAATTTAAATATATACCCTATGTGTATACTTTCTATACAAATGTACACCTATTGAATTCCTGAAATTAAAAGATTGGCAGACGTAGGTCTCTCTACCTTTAATCCTTTCTTGACAGGCTCCCTACTACTCCTATGACATAAGATCCGATAAGATACCAAGTTACTCCAGCTAGCATAACCTGCATCCCAAAACTGTTTACTACCTGTTGTGCGAAAGAACCACCTATATGTCTGTCCAATCCTCCAACTGCCTCACCTGGTCCTTGTAATCCAACTGTAATCGCAGCAACCACACCCAACCCTATTGGAATACCTGAAATAAGGGGATTGCTCGGTTTAATATCTCTTTTCATGTATGCTTTGCCCCGGTTAACTCCAGTATAAGATGGTGTTTTACTTCTTGTCTGAGCATATGACTTGTTCTCTATTTTCAGTGGAAGTACAGGGGTTGATGGAACCCAATATTCTTCCTGCTTTGTTTCTTGAGAGAGAACCTTTGCATTGGCCCGAGTCTTAAACATACCGTGTTTCCTAGCTGCTGCTGCTGCATTTCTGAGCTTCTCAATGTCAGGATCTCGGGATATGTTCTTTTCCCTTAGTGTTAAGCTCAGAGAAGTATCTGAAGTGGGGTGTTGCCAGTACAACCAATTTGAGATTGACCTGATGGTTTGTATTGCTGACATCCTTGCATCTCTCTGGATATCAGAGTACTGGAAATATAGTGCAGCATTAGAAAAAAATTTCAACAAACCAAGTTTAAGTGTCAGGGTAAATAATAACCTTAGAGTCTTGATTTGATTTTTTCGTTGCTGCTTCTTCCAATCGTTTCTGGAAAAATTTAAGTTCAGAGAAAACATCGAAGGTTCGTGCACCAGCTGTGTTGCTTGCCCCTATCCTGACCTTCCCTCTTGGCTGCTTTGACATGAGAAATTCCAGTGCAGCAAGGTCTGATCTGTCCACTGTCCTGATTGCCACTCAGCGTACATATAATACGTGCAGTCAAACTTATCAGTTGGTTATATTATATGGTCTAGAGTATGAATTCAAGAAAACTAACATCGTGATCAAGTAGTAAGTTAGTAACTACAGAGTGCTAGATTTCCTTAAGTAAAGGTTCTGTTAGAACATCCTAGTTTAGCACAAGAAAGACTACGAAACCTACTGAAATTATAAGGCAGAGATGAGATGATCATTACGAGATGCAATCGACAGGACAAGCATCTATGGCTGCTTGAATTTTATCTTCAGGATCAGCCCACTGTGACACAACACGAGCCCTGCCATAGGTAGACTCGATAGCAAACGTCTTCTCAGCAAGCAATGCACATTTTAAGCAACCTACACACCTGATCTCATCAACAAATATGGCCCTTTGTTCACTTTCTGGTCCTAGCCAAACCGAGTACATTGGCCTGCCTGTGTATCCTTGCAACTCTGTGAGCTTAGCTCGTTCCTAATCAAACATTCACACCTTTTCCTTACAAAATATTTGAGCAAACTTATCGGATACAAAACACCATAAAATTGCTACTTGTATCAGAAAAACAACCTCTAAAAATAAAGTTGAACAATTTTGTGATGTATTCATTATCAGTTGAAATTTAGCCAGAAGATACTAATTACCTTATCGTAGACATATCGAGAGATGGGATCAGAGAGAACAGCATAAGCTTCATTAAGGATGATAGCCATATCATGGCCTGCTAGCCCTGCAATATCAGGATGACATCTTTTTTGAAGGGATCTGTATGCCCTTTTAATCTGGCTTTGATCACTGCTACTGTCTATCCCTAAAAGATCATACAGGTCGTACTCCATTATCGAGCTTGTTGATGACAACGACGATGATGATGCAGCCTTGCAAGTTAGCAGATGATGATGCTTAAGTTTATGATATGAGAAGTTTGATAAGGATTTTGGGAACTGATCATGTAATAAAATCTTCTGCCCTTTATGTATGATTGGTGAATTTAGTGTTGCAAAGTTAAGAGAAAAGGTTGTAGAAGCCATTTTTTTTTTGAGGTGGTTTGATACACATACACCCTGCAATTTGTTGATTGTGTTTTAGGAGCAGAGAATTAGAAAGAGTATGGAAAAGAAAGAGAGCCACATGTTATAAGATATTTTGGCTAGTCTACCATGAAGGTGATTGTTCTAATATTATGTTCCGTGTACTCTTTTAAATTCTTACTAGTACCTCGGGTTTGAACTTTAGAAATTCATCAACATAGATCGGGTAAGTTTTTACCTTTGATTTCGATTTGACTCGTTTAAAGTTAAATTAGTTGGAATCTAATAAGGATTTGATATCAGGTGGTTTAGTTAAAAAATGGATATCTATTATTGCTCAAAAATGATTGAATGTTACACTAATGATAATCATGTCCATTTATTTTCCTTTGATTTATCTTTAATTCACATCATTCATGGGTAAATTCAATATAGTGATCTAAATATCCTTAAAATAATTTGACTTTTAATTCATGACATTCATGGTTAAATTCAATATAGTGATTCAAATATCCAAAAACCGGCCAAAATGAATTTTTTTAGCTAAATTAAATTATCACACAATACTACAATAGTCATCAACTATGTAATAAATTGATACAAATTTTTATTACTTAGTTTTGCAAAATCACTACTCATAACTAATTTGTATTTCTTTTATTTGGGGTCCTATGAAACAGGTTGTATAACATTGTAAAATTTGCAATCCACTTAGTGACAAACTTAAGTACCCGAAAATATGGAATAGTGAAGAGTATTTCCTCAAACCTTTTCAGTATTAACCTCAAATCTTTACAATATTACCGTATTCCAATTTTCAATAATAAATTTCACCGCCCTATTTTCTCTCACAACTATGATTTTCATCACTTTTCCCTGAAATAGAGAAAAGTTAATACAACAACCAAGCCCACGTGTCCTAGCTAGGGTTGGCTAGACCAGTACCCGCTAGCGATGTATAGTGTCACAATATTCAAAAGAAAAGTTGATGGCTTGAGCTCACAGTCGTTCTTACATGCCATGTAATTAGTAAAGCTCGCAAGCTTAGTCTTATTATTCGTGACATGACATGGGTTAATTTAGTTTTGAATTGTTTATTTTACCAAACGAAAAAACAAACACAATCAAAGCGTAATTCAATACCAAAACACACATTATAGTGTCGTTTCGGCCCGATCTAGTATCATCGTTAGAGAAAATCGATTTATGTTACTCTTTAAAGGGAATTCCCTTTTTTGGTTGGGAATTTACCCTTTCCAAAAATACCCTTTAAAAAAATACTTATTTTCAAAAAAAAATATTTTGTTAAAAAAATAAGAAAAATTTCACTTTTGCTACCACCAAAACACATGTGTTTCACTTTTGCTACCCATTTAAATTTTATTTTTATTTTACTACCACACAAAAACACCTTTGTTAAAATTTGCTACCACTTAACACTTTCGGTTACTATTTCCGTTAGTGTGATCCAGCCACCCTCAATGTCACCTTTCGACCACCCCTCCTTCCTCAGCCACTCTAACTGCCTCCCCATCAGCCACTAAGAAAAAAAAAATTAAATAATAAAAAACCCAGCCACCAAAAAAAAATAAAAAATTAAACAATAACCCAGTCCCCTCCCCATCAGCCACCCCTTGCCCTTACCGGCGCCGACGACCCTACCCCACTCCCTTTCTCCTACCAACGCAGCCTACCCCCCTCCTTTTCCCCCTTCTTGCTGCCCCGACCCCCACCCCGAACCGGAAACTACCCCCCTCCCCATTCCCCCACCAGAATGCGCCGCTACTGCTGCTGCTCCTCCCTTCGAACAAGTCACCCCACTCCCCAGCACCAAAAACCGGCACTTCTAACCCTAAACGGGATTTAGGGTTTCGTTTATGGTGGTGTTGGGCTGGTGTTTAAGGGTTAGGGGTGGCTGTTTTGGGTGGGGGAAGAGGAGGGGGCCGATTCAGGGTGGGGGGGGGATGGGGAGGGAGGGCTGTTTTCCTGTTTCGGGGTGGGGGTTGGGGCAGTGAGAAGGGGATAAGGGAGGGGGGTGGGCTGCGTAGGTGGAGGAAAGGGAGGGTGGATTGGAGTCATCGGCGTCGGGCGACGCTTTGGGCGCCGGCAGGGGGGAGGGGGAGGGTGGCTGACGGGAGGGGGCTGGCTGGCAATTGAAGGTAGAGGAAAGGGAGGGGGGAGGGTGGCTGACGGGTTGAAGGTGGTGGCTGGGTTTTTTTTTTTTTTTTAAACATTTTTTTTTTTTTTATTTATTTTTTGAATAAACTTAACTGGTAGCAAATTTTAACAAATGTGCTTTTAGATGGTAGTAAAATAAAAATAAAATTTAAATGGGTAGCAAAAGTGAAACACATGTGTTTTGATGGTAGCAAAAGTGAAATTTTCCAAAAAATAATAATAACTACCCAAATAAATTAAAAAAAAAAAAATTGATACTCCATAACTACCAATTTTTTTTTAAAAAAAAACTGTCCATTGTTCTGGCTATCATCCTTCCTCATACAAAATAAAAACCTTCAAATTAAAAAAAAAAAAATATTAATGTTCATTACTCAAAATTTCCCACTTAGAGCACTCACAACCATGAGCAAAATATATGCTCATGGGCATTTCTTGTGAGCAAATATTTTGCTCATCACCCACAATGGTGAGCTAAACCAAAAATGCAAGAAAAAGCCCATGGGCAAAAATGAAAATGTCCATAGCATGGGCATTTCTTCTGATGAACAGTGATCTCGGTGGGGCCCACAAGCTGGAGGAAAGCTGGAAAAAAAAAATACGGGTACTGTTCATGCCAGGCTGCCAGCGAGTAGGAGCGCGACACGTGGCATGTTCAGGGTGTTGGCCAATGACAAAATTAGCCGTTTTACAACGGTTATAATCTTCCCATTGCATTTTCTGAAAAATATTTTCAGTAAAAAAAAAAAAAAAAAATTACCAACGGTCATAAAATTAAATTCTCTATAAATAGACATGCATTTTGATATATTTTGATATATTTTCGAAATCACTTAAAATCCTCCACTTTTTTATTTTCTTAAGCATTTTAAATTTGTTGAAGAGCATTTTTGTTGCAACACACCCATATTGAGGTAAATTTTTTTTTTTTTTTTTATTATTTAAATAAAGTTATGTAATAAAATTAATATATATGTGATTTTTTGAAAAAAAAAATATTATGTAATTGCATTATGTAATTGAAAAAAAAATATATGTTGTTTAATTGCATTATGTAATTGAAGAAAGTTGTTGATATGTTCTCCATACATTACTAAATTTGTAGTAAAAAAAGTGTTGCATTTATTGGTTACTTTTTTTTTTTTTTTGTAATATTAAGTTATGTATTAAAATTAGTATATGTGTGTTTTTTTGAAAAAAAAAATATTATATGCCATGTTTACTTAATTGAAAAACCCAATTGAAGAAATTTGTTGATATTTTCTCCATACATTACTAAATTTGTAGTAAAAAAAGTGTTGCATTTATTTGATATATTTGCTTTTTTTTCTAATATATAAATTTAGTTATGTATTAAAATTATTATATGTGTGTTTTTTTGAAAAAAAAAAAATATAAAACCATGTTGTTTAATTGCATTATGTAATTGAAGAAAGTTGTTGATATTTTCTCCATACATTACTAAATTTGTAGTTGCAAAAGTGTTGCATTTATTGGTTACTTTTTTTTTTCTAATATATAAATTTAGTTATGTATTAAAATTAGTATATGTGTGTTTTCTCCATACATTACTAAATTCAAACATTACTAAATTCGTAGTTAATAAAGTCTTCCAATTATTGGTTAATTTTTTTTTTAATATATAAATTTAGTTATGTATTAAAATTAGTATATATGTGATTATGTGAAAAAAAAAAATTATCTTTTGTAAAAAATTAGTAAATTTTAGTACAAATATTTATCTTTTGTTTTGTGATGCAGAATCTTTTAATGGATCCAAACAACCCAAATTTCCGCCAACAATTTTCTGGTTTTAGTGATGATTTGCTAACTAATCCCGAGTTTCAATTGTTCTTGCAAAGAATGGGCAATACGTCTTTGCAACCATCTCCACAGTATCAGACACCCACTCAGTTTCCCCTACGAAACCATGTTATTGAAGAATGTACACCTGAAACTGTACATGATAGCAACACACAATTCAATGAGAGCGAAGAGGACAGCGTACCAGAGACGCCGCAATATCCTCCACCAGTTCCCGAACTGAAATCCAACCAGGTTGTTGCACGAGCGACTCGAATTTGGTCAGTTGCGGAAGATGAAACTCTGATTGGGTTGTACTTGGAGATCAGTGAGAATGCTATTAAAGGCACGAGCCAGAAAGCAACTTCCCTTTGGCGCGATGTACACGCAGCATATCAACTTGCTCATGCGGAGAAGCCGCATATACTTCCACCAAGACCTATGAAGAGTCTGACGTCGCACTGGAGAAGGTTGGCAGCAGACACACTACAGTGGATATCTTGCTATGATGAAGCAGGTAGACTTCCGGAGGGAGGGAGTGGTTACAACGAAGCTGACCGTATAAAAAGTGCGTCGAAGCTTTTCCATCTCGCCCAAGGTCGTAATTTCGCTTTTCCTCACGCTGTTGAAATGCTTAATAGAGATCCAAAGTGGAGGCCAAAGCTGAGATGGTCCTTGTCAAAGGAGGAAAGAAAAGCTGTTCGTGATGTTGAGGAGCAAGGTAGTGCTGGAAGTGGGAAGAGGTCCAGAGATGATGGAGGGGATGAAACCCCTACGGATGGTTTTTCATCTGGAGGAATACAACGACTCGAAGGTGTGAAGAAAGCAAAGGCCAAGCGTAAAGGGAAAGAAGTAGCTTCGGACAGTGGTTCGTCTGAGCTTAGCGAACGAATGAAGGAATTGGCAACAATTCGCGAGAGGGAGGCCATTCTGAAGGAAGAGCGGATCAAAATTGAAAGGGAGAAGGAACAGAGGAAAAGGGAGGAACTTGACATTCATAAGATGAAAACCTGGTTTGATATGGTGCAAGCTATGAAGAATTCGCCTACTCCACTCACTCCTGAAGAAGAGTCGTACAAGAATTTCTTACTGGGTAAATTACAGGGCTTATAAGCATGTTTGGTTGTAGTAGGTGTACGCTTGTATTAGTTAAGTTTTTAATTATGCGCAATGTAGTCTTTTATGTTTAACATGTATTAGTGGTGTGTTTAATTTCACTGTCATATGTAAACTTGTATTCTGATTTTCCAATATTGAATGACAAGTTGTTTAACAAGTTGATTTCAGTTGTCATTGTTACCGACATAGTTGCATTCAATTGTTGTCATTGGGTAGTCACTTTTTTTCTGATTTCACTTTAACTTTGGGTCATTCATGGCAACAAAATTGCAATAACTCTTTATCATTCAGTAGTCACATTTTTGTCATTGTGTAGTCACATGTTTCTGAATTAACTTTGTCAGTATGCTTTAACTTTAGGTCATTCATACCGACATGGTGTAGTCACTTTTGTTCTGAATACACTTTGTCAAGATTTGTCATTGTCAACTAGCATAGTATACCTATTCCGTGGCTGAAAATTTGAATGCTTTAGTTGGTGTGGTCATTCAGATTTGTAACCACATATTCATTTGATTTATTTGCTATATATAGTAGGCATGGCACATATCCACAACCACACCAATTAAGAAAATTATAATATTAATACATGATGTATTCCAGACCATCATCAAGTTCAAGTTCAAGTTCATCTTCTTCCAATAATGAAGAATATGATCAACTCGTTGATGAACTCTTCACATACCAACCCACATCTTTCCTCATGCCCCAAACACAATCCCAACGTACTTCAAAATCACGTAGAGGGGGTACGAACAGAAGAGATTGGGAAATGGGACATGCCAGGCTGTTCAATGATTATTTTTCCGATAATCCTGTGTACAATACCACCCAATTTAGAAGAAGATTTCGTATGCAACGACCTTTGTTTTTACGTATAATGAACAAGGTCGTTGAAGGTGATGTTTACTTCCAGCAGCGTAGGGATGCAACTGGAAAGTTAGGCATATCACCTCTGCAAAAATGTACAGCCGCGATACGAATGTTAGCCTATGGCATGGCTGCAGACGCTGTTGATGAATACGTTCGAATCAGTCAGTCAACCGCTCGAGTTGCCCTACAACGTTTTTGTGCCGGGGTCATTGACCAGTTCGGAACCGAGTACATGCGAAACCCTACAACTGATGAATTGGCCCGGATACTGCATCAAAATGAACTACGTGGTTTTCCAGGCATGATAGGCAGCATTGATTGCATGCATTGGGAATGGAAGAACTGTCCAACGGCTTGGAAAGCGCAGTACGCCGGTAGGAACAAGAAAGCAACGCTAATACTGGAAGCCGTTGCGGATCAGGATTTATGGATATGGCATTCCTTCTTTGGTATTCCCGGATCTTGTAATGATCTTAATGTGTTGTACCGTTCACCAGTGTTCGATGAGGTTCTGCATGGTCGAGCTCCTCCGGTAAATTTTACGGTTAACGGCCATGAATACAACATGGCTTATTATTTAGCCGACGGCATTTATCCGAAGTGGGCAACTTTTGTTCAGGGTATCACATTCCCTCAACTGGCCAAAGATAAAATGTTCGCTGACCACCAGGCTGCCGCTCGAAAGGACGTTGAAAGAGCTTTCGGTGTGTTGCAAGCTCGATTTGCAATAATACGAAAACCGTCGCTGGCGTACGATGAGGACATACTGCGGGACATAATGAAAACATGTATCATTATGCACAACATGATTGTTGAAGATGAGCGCCACAACTACACTCGAGCCGAAGTTCTAAGAGCCTTCTACGAAGAAGATCAACAAGAATCAACATCTACAACGCCACCGTTTGAATTCAACGTAGGCCGACCTACCAACTTTGATTTCAACGCATTTCTACAGCGAAAAGCTTCCCTCCGTGACAGAGAAATTCATCTATCTCTGAAACGTGATTTAGTCGAACATATTTGGCAACACTACGGGCCACGTAATTAGGGAGAAATTAGCACGACTTAAATAAAGCCAAGTACTATGGCGTAGCTACTTTTACTTGTTGTGTTTATTTTATTTCTAAGTTTAATTACGCATGACGTTGCAAATGTAATTGGTTTCTAGTATTGTACCGCTTTTAAAATAAATAAAAACATTTAAGAAATTTTGAGCTTTTTTAAATTTTTTTTTTTATATAACGTACTTAATTTTACGACAAATTTTAACGATAAAAAGGACAAAAATAAAAAAAATAAGTTACACAAATTTTAACTAGTTTTTATTTATTTGGAGTAACATTGTTAAAATATAAATGAAATAAATAAATAAAGAAGTGTTGTGTAGGAGAGAGAAAGTAATGGTGGGGTATTGAAAAAGTAAGAGAGAGAGAGTGGTGGGTGGGCAATTTTTTTGCTCACCATTGGGAGAGAATATGTGAAAAAATTTGCCCATGAGCAAAACTTATTTCTTGAGAGAGAAAGTGGGTAGAGAGAGAGTGGGTGAGCATTTTTTTTGCTCACCATTGAGAGTGGTCTTACGATCCATTCCTTCTACAACTGCTAATCACTTTCTCAAGTCCCTTTATTATAGTCACACATGAATGCATGAGGTATGCCAGTCTTTTGTACGAGAATCAATGTGTTTATTTCTATGTTTCTTCTATTTTCTCATGCCTCCTACAGTCCTACTACAATCTTCCCTTAGATGATTCTTTATATAATCTTCCTATGTTATAATCATAATGTTCTAAGATATTTTTAAACCATAATACTCATTCTTATGATATTATTGACTCTTGCTAATCTATCTTTAATTTTGTAGAATATGAGGTATTGATTGTTCGTCATGGTAGTATGTCTTTTGCTTGAAATGAAATCTCATGTTCATAGTTACGTTAGATTATTCTCCATGCATCAATTTTTTTTTATGATCTATCTATCTATCTATGTTCATTTGTTAAATTGTTCTCCATACATCAATCTTTGCTTGATTTGGTTATGAGTACATATTTTCAATTTTATATGCTTTATAATATATATACTTCATTAAAAAAAAAGTTATTTATTTTTTAATTTCCTATTTAATAGTATGATATACAACTTTAATTTCTTATTAATTTATCATTATATTAAAGTGATAATTATGCACACATTTGCTTGCGCCTTTTAGCTTGTACACCTTAATAGGTTCGGGTTTCATGCTTCAACATTCGCCTCCTTTTTTCCATTTCCATTCCACGGGAGGTGAAAGGTTACTAACTGACTTCATTCATTTCCTTTCTCCCTAATAAAATTCTAACATTAGACCAGCAAAAAAAGCCCTAATTTGGAGCTTCAACAATGGCGAGACAACAAGCCAGCAAACTCCTCGCTACCTTGTCTTCCAAGATTCATCCTACCATTTCTTCTTCTTCTTCGATCGGTCAAACCAGGCAGTTCGGCACCTCTCATCCTCCTCCTGCTGTGTTCGTCGACAAGAATACGCGCGTCATTTGCCAAGGTATCACCGGCAAAAATGGTACTTTTCACACTGAACAAGCCATCGAATATGGCACCAAAATGGTACCGCTTCATTTCTTCTACCTTTGATTTTCGTTTTAGGTTAGTTTATGTTTTCAATTTCATTAGTTTTGTATGGTTTTGTTGGATCTGATTTTGTTTTAACCCAGATTTTCATTTTTAGATGTTTTTAGATGCGCGATTTTTCGATTTGTGAATGTTGTTTTGGCCTTTTTGTTGGTGATTTTTAGTGTTGATGAGAAAATGGTTTGATTTGAGGTTGTTTTTGACAAATATGGAAGTGAGGAATGCAGCTTTTGATTTTCTTTTTACGCTGTTTGATTGGAATTATTACACCAATTTTTATGGATGCAATAGATTAGTGTTGCTATTCTGTAGTTTGTGTTGGATGTATGAAATTGGAGAGTATTTTAATCAGAATTGATGATTGATTAATTTGAGTGGAAGACTAAGGTAGTTCGTGTTACTTCGTTTTGGTGGATTTGAAACAATTTTAAGGATTTTAGGACCTCAGAGATAGTGCTTGTTGCATCATTAGAATATGTTTGCCCAATTAGGCGAAATATCAGTGATTGATTTAAGGAAGACTGAGGTGGTGTTGCTTATTATTATATTCGTGTTTTTCTTTGGTTGTGGCAAGTGGTTTACCGAAGGGAAGACTGCAAAACAAATGTGGTTTGTAACATAAGAAGTTGAGAATTTTATGAATTACTAGTGGAGTTGGAAGAGGCAGTTAATGTAGAATTTGAGACATTAAAGGAAAAGAAAATGTTAAGAATAGTGATAATTAGAAAGAGTCAAGAATGTAAATGAAGTGAGGGTGCTTTGCGGTTGTGCAGTAATTATGTCTGCTTGTAGCCCTCTCCCTCGTAATGGTGTAGGCAGGACCATGGGAGAGTTTAACGTTAGATGGCATTGGTAGAGGTCTTGAAGAATATATGTGGACAATCGGGGATAGCTAAGAAAGTCCAGATCAGTGGCTTGGGTCAATCTATCCTTTGTATGGTATGGGTTTACAGAGAAATTAGAAATATATTGCCATAATGTGTACACGGGCTTCATAATGATCGAAATGTAGAAAAGCTGTGTGAAACTCACTTGAACATACACTCATACAGTGGTCACAACTCATTATGGAAGTTCTGATTGGTTAGACATTAATTGGCTTGCTTTTTCTGACATCATATTAGTTTATGAGTATCACTTGCATTCTCTAATGACAAGAGCATTGTATGATGGATGCTTCATTGTTGGTATCAGGTTGGTGGTGTGACACCAAAAAAGGGTGGTACTGAGCATTTAGGGTTACCAGTTTACAACACTGTTGCTGAGGCAAAGGAAGATACACGGGCCAATGCCTCAGTTATCTACGTTCCTCCTCCCTTTGCTGCGAAAGCAATCATGGAAGGGTTGGAAGCTGAATTGGATCTAATCGTCTGCATCACTGAAGGAATTCCTCAGCATGACATGGTAAGCCATTTGACTTATCAACTAGAATTAATTTGTTGTTGGTTATTATTTTTATTAATGTTTGTTTGTCCAGAATTTCCTATTCTCATTAGCATACTTTAATTTCTTTTTAGCCTAATTGACATCGTGACTATATCTATCTCAAACTTCCTTGTTGCTTGTATTTCATTCCCTTGTGGACTTCCTTTTTTTATTCTTCTTCTCTCTCAGACCTCAAAGTTACAGGCTTTGTATTGAAAATGCCTGAATTATATCATACTTGTATCAAGGCTAAGAACATATTCAGTGGTTGAATCAAAATACAGGGTGCATCCCATGTCCCCATCTGACACATCTTGTTCATCCATTTTAAAGTTACATGGAAGACTTAAGCACTCTTTTTCCTCTGTGCCTTTTTGTGCTGTGGTTTAATTAACTTTGTGCTCTTTCCAGTTTACTGTTATTTCATTCTGATATCTGGTTCAAATATCTATGTATTAGTTAGATATGTAGAATTTTATATTGTCTATCCTAATGAAACGGTTAAGTTTCTCTGGTAATCAGCTCTCAAGTGTCAGTTCTCTTGCTGTTTGTTCTTTTATTGTGACGCTAGGCAGTCATATTGGTTGGGATGTTTTGCAAATTTGCTTTCTCAAATATATTGTATCTGCTATTCCAGGTTCGAGTCAAAGCTGCCCTTAATAGACAATCGAAAACCAGGCTAATCGGTCCAAATTGCCCTGGAATCATCAAACCTGGAGAGTGCAAGATAGGCATTATGCCTGGTTATATCCACAAACCAGGTCGTATTGGAATTGTTTCTCGTTCTGGTACACTGACATATGAGGCGGTATGGAATTTCTCTACTTGCTATTCTTTATGTTTAGTGGCCCAATAGCTGATCTATATAATACTTACCTTCTATATTTTGCTTTCAAGCTGTACTTTCAAAATATATTTATTTCTGAGAGTTCTTTGCCTATCTTCTATTCCATTATACCATGAATGTAGAATTTCACTGGATGATGTTGTTGTGGTATCACAATTTGTCTATACTAACTAAATGATCATTATCATTGATTGTCTCAGCTTATTAGTCTATTACTAATTTATTAATTACATCATTGCACTAATTAATTATTGAAAGCGTCATTATGAGTGTTATATTTTGAAGTCATGATAAAATTATATCTCTTTACTACTTGTTTATAGGACTTTAATCTGCCAATCAATTTATACTTGGTGTTGTGATGTAGGTTTTCCAAACAACTGCTGTTGGCCTTGGGCAATCCACTGTTGTAGGAATTGGTGGGGACCCTTTCAATGGGACCAACTTTGTTGATTGCATTGAGAAGTTCATTAATGACCCCCAGACTGAAGGTGGACTTTGTCTTTCCTAAAATGCTTTTCATTACCCTTTCAATCAATTGATTACACTTCTGTTCAAGTGGCTTGATCTGCTTTTGTGATTGCTAAACATTAGAGGATTGGTTGGTTTTCCATCTGATGGATTAGTGGCTAAATGAATTCACTTTTTCATGGTAGATTTTGATTGGAAAAGAACCATTACTATATGAATCATCATTCTTTGACCCCTGACCTTCCTAGAACAATGGCTATAGTACTCAGAATTTTGTGGGAGATCAGATGACTGCGCAGTTTATGATTACTGGATTACTGGTTTTACTAAAAAAATCCCACTTAATTATACTTCCTCTGTTCCCTTAATATTGCAACAATTACCATTTTAGGAAGTTTTAGAAATAGTGCAACATTGCCATGTATACACATGCTCTCTCTCTCTCTCTCTCTCTCTCTCTCCTCATCACATGGATCCCTATCTTTATTTCTCTCTATCTCTCTCCTCGTCTTAATTTTGTGTCTTCCCCCCTGTTGCAATATTAGGAGAACAAAGGAAGTATTTGTTTTGTGTATGCTGGTGTACATGAGAGAGAAGATTCTGCAATGCTTTATATGGCTGTATCTGATGGGTATTAGGAGGTATAGTGACTCATTGATGGGGGGCAGACACTTTATAACTTTGGAAGTATGGTATTGGCTTGCGATGCTATTGCTTGCTTCTGTTTGAATAAAGATATCCCTCTTCAACTTCACAAGTCAGAATACACTTATGTCATCCTTCAATTTCCTTCACAACTTCTTCATCCCATCTGTAGTGGACTCCAGATTTAGCTTGTTGAGAAATGTTCTGCCATTTTGTTTATGTATATAATTTCTCTCCACCCCATGTTAGTCATATATCCGCAACCATGGCAGACACAGGGTGAGAAGGGATGCTTGATTAGTTTAGCCTTTGTGCATTCATAGTTTGTGTAACCAAATCTCCAATAGGATGGGCTTTCAGATTGTAATGAGTTGTCTGCAACCTGTGCTGGTATCAAAATATTGCGACACATTTACCTAGTAAAAGGGTTATGGAGTGAAAATGTTCCTAGAAAATTGCATTTTATGAGAACCAATAGGAGGTATAAGTATTCTTGTTTGCTTGGATTGTTTTTATGTACCTTTGCTTATATATTTCCTGCTGATTTTACTACAGGTATTATTCTTATTGGGGAAATAGGGGGAACTGCTGAAGAGGATGCTGCTGCTGTGATTAAGGTAAGCCATTTTGACCATGTACCTTGGATTGAAAGTTTTTCCTGCTAAAAGCTTTATGGCTTTAGCCACCCGATTTTTGCTAAAGAGATCTTTTGCTTGGTAAACAGAGTTATACTTATTTTCTGAAGAATAAAATTTCGTTTTAGAAATCACATGGGTGTTTTTATTAGGATTCATTCTTTTCAGCTGAATACATCTTATCTAACCAATTTTAGCTGTGGTATAATCTTAGTAGCCCTTTATTAAACTGTTTTAGGGAATAGGACAAGGCCATGGTATATTCAGTTATAGGCAACAATGGTCGTTTCTTGGCAATTTGATGATGGTGTTTTTGAAAAACATAAAGGCAACATTGTTACACGGCTTACATCCTTCTTTAAATTGAAAGATCTGATATTGTGGCTAATTATCCGCTTTTTTTCCCCACATTACATGCCCTACTTATTGAGAAATTTAGTGGTGACATTGTATTTTAGCACAGAGGGAAACAGTAGTAGATTTTTTTTTTCCACTAGCTTATAAGGAGAGTAAATTACGACACAGTCCCTAAGGGATGAAGGCATTGGTAGTTTGGTAATTGTATTATAGTTTGAGCAAAGCTGTCAATGATTAATATATTTAATGTTCCTTAGGCCAAGGGAAATTTGTTCTAGATAACTGTTTTCTGCTGATGTGTTTCCTGGTTGCGATTATGTCTCTTAGTGAGTTCTTTGCTTGAAACAGGAAAGTAAAACTGAAAAACCTGTGGTTTCTTTCATTGCTGGGCTAACGGCACCACCTGGTCGACGGATGGGTCATGCTGGAGGTAATGTGTTATGACAGCAATTTTTAGTTAGCTGCCTTGATTTCTGTAACAATTAGTTGATGATCTATGTTATTGATTTTAGTATTTTGCTTAACTCTAGTGTGTCTACCTAGCGCTATCATGATATGATTATTGCTTCTATATTGGACAGCTCAGAACTTCATGTGTGTGTGTGTATATATATATATATATATATATGTTGCTGTTCCACATCATTCAGTTTGGGTGTTTGGTGTCTGATTTTGTGCTTTTGCTTACTGTAACACAAGGCTAGTGATAATAATGAATTGACAATCTTAATGTTTTGAATTTTCTTAAAAAAATATTTCATGGCAGCCATTGTATCTGGTGGTAAGGGCACAGCGCAAGACAAAATCAAGACTCTCAGAGAAGCTGGGGCCACCGTGGTAGAGTCTCCTGCAAAGATGGGTGCTGCAATGCTCGATGTCTTCAAGCAGAGGGGCCTTCTAAGTTAGTTTGAAATAAATTCAATACTCTGTTACGTTTTCTCCTAGTACAGTGTGGCATAATACCATACCCCATGAATGTGATGTGAATTGTGGAAGTTTCTTCCAGCATCACCTGTCGAAGGACGGGGCAACATTTTGATTCCATGTGATTATATTTTTGCCTGTGCTCTTTCCATTGAATACCAATGCGATGGGCAAATGAAAGTGAAATTTTTTTATCGTCATCTGGTGAACTTGATGATGATTTAATTAAATGTTTACATGCAAAAAGTGAACCTGATCCGAGATAAAAATAAATTTTTGTACTGCTGAGTTGAATTCTGTAGTAGGTGTGCCCATGATTTTGTAATCATTTTTACTTTGAAAGTGTGAACTAAGCAGGAAAACAAAAGCCTTGGACATGGTTTATAAATTTCGGAAGTAGACCATAGTAAGTCCTTCCTTATGGTTGTTGAAGTCTAGAATTACTCGTAGAGTCGTAGTAACAAACAATAAATATGTACTCCGTACTATGTACAGAGTATGAGTTAGACAAACAAAATAATGTGGGGAAGATGAGGAAATAAATAGTTTGAGTTTGAATAATTTTTAATTTTACTGTAGTAGGCTGTTTCCCTCTATTTGATACAGTAAATTTTCCCTCCAAAATTTGCGTGTATTATTAAAGTTGACAAGTTGGTGAGAAAGACAGTGAGGTGAAGTGTAACTAGTATTTTTATTGGATATTGTACAATTTCTCTTCTAGCATTAGTAAGAATCAGACTTCTCGAGCAGTGAAAAGACAGTCTATCTTCTGCTCTTCTTCCCACCATCCTTTATCAGTCTGTTTACTTTGCCAGCTTCTCTTCCATACAGGGACTACTACCCATTAGCCACTTGAGACTTGAGACTAGACATGTTCATCAACTCTCTCCATAAGGTAATTATTGACCCATTTGGTTTACTGCCATATAATTTGTTTGTAAAGTTTCGGAGGTGGTACTCAATATTTACGTAAACATTTTGAGTTACCTATAAAAACTTAAATTTTAGTTTTTGCCCATTTTACTTAATTCTCAATAAAATTGAACAAAATCATATCTAGAGGCTGATTCAACTAGTTGTTTGACTGAAAATAAAATATATGTAGTATAACTGTATATGCTTTGAAAAATAGACATTGTATAAATAGGTTTTGTTATGAATTGAAGATGATGGACTTCTTGACATTTTTTTTCATCTTGTATATTAGGGTGTAATTTACATGCAAAACATTTTGAAATAAATTTACATCTTTCTAAATATGACTTCCTTTGCATTTACATATGTTTTTTTGTTATTATACTAACTACATTGTACTTGAAAATAAATTAACTATTGAATGACTGATTAATCGTTACTGATTTAGATGACTAACTGTTTCGAGTGTTAGATGACTAACAGTCAGCTGAATAGCTGTAAAATAACTAACAATCAGCCCAATAACTGTAATAATTAGTTAAATAACTGTAAACTAACAGACAACTAGCTACCCAAAAAAATCTATAAAACCAACTGTCATAACTGTATTATTACTGACAGATAAACAACCGACTAACTATTAGATAACTAACAGTTCATTCCGACCAAAAATCGAAGCCTGACTGACTATAGGAGAACAACAAAATAGCAATGGCGGTATTACGGGGAACCTAAAAACGAAAAACAATATACTGGAATTGGTTTTTGTAGCCCACAATAAAAACTCACTCTGTTTCACGATTCAAGAACGAAAAAACCCTTCATATTCTCTCTCCTCTATTCCTTCCTTCCTCCCGTCTATTTAGCGTGAATTTTACCTTCAAATTCTCATTCTTTTTCTCTCTCTTTCTTTCGCTTTTTCTCTCCTCCTTTTGGCGGGACCTTTTGAATTCTTTCCCCTAAATTTGTTTCTATTTTTACACTATTTTTCACTACTATTCTCTCTTTCTCTCTCATCAATATTCCTTCATGAACCCTAATTTGTAATCCCCTTTTATTTTCTGAAAATCGAAATTGAAATAGTTTCGTAGTTATGGGAGAAAAAGGCGAGAATGGGGTTGTTGCTGAACCTAAATTGGAAGAAAAATTAGAGGGAGAAGATGTTGCTGAACCTAAACTGGAAGAAAATTTAGAGGGAAAAGATGGTGATAATAATAAGAAAGAGAATCATGATGAAGTGATTCCGATTGAAGAAAGATGTGAGAGAAATGATGGAAAAGATTGGCGGTGTAAGCTTCGCAAATTGGATGATGACAAATTGTGTCAGAAACACTATGATCAGAAGAATAAGGCTAAAAAGGGTAATTTTAAAAAGGGTGGTTCTAAAACTGAGAAGGATGATGAAGAAGAATCAATTATGAAGGCTTTTCAGAAGAAAAAGGCTGAATTAGTTGAAGTAAAAAGTGCCGAGAAAGTTAATGTGAAAGTTGACCCAGATGAAGGTGAAGAGAAAAGCGTCGAGAAAGTTGTCGAAAAAGTAAAGGAAGTTAAAGAGGAGAAGAGTGAGACTGTGATTCCGGAGAAAAGGGGTGGTGAGAGTGTTGGAATAGTTGCAGAAGAAATTCCTGAAGAAAACCCTGAAATTCCTGGAAAAATCTCAGAAGTTCCTGAAGATAACCCAATAAAATCCGAGAAAAACTTAGAAATATCTGAAGAAAACCAGGAAAAACAGGAGGAAATCCCAGATAATTCAGAGCAAAACCAGTTAAAATTGGAGCAAGATGGAGAAGAGGATGCAGAAAATAAAGTTCCTAAGAAAAGGGGTCGTAAGAGGATTATAAAAGTTGTAGAAGAAAATCCTGAGAAAACCCCAGAAAAATCGGAGGAAAGCCCAGATAATTCAGAGAAAAACCAAGTAAAATTGGAGCAAGATGGAGAAGGGGAAGCTGAAGTTTCGAAGAAAAGGGTTCGAGATGATGCGGAGAAAGGACATCATAGTGAAGTAATTGTTAGTGATGACAATGGTTTGGCTAGGAGGAGTAAGCGTAGCGGTGCGCGTAAGAGTAATTATGGAGAAGATGATGCAGTGCGCGTGTATTTTGAGGAAGATGAGATGGAGGAGAAGAGCTTGAAACGGCGAAAGGGTGGGAGGAAACCGAAGGGCAATAAGGCTGCTGTTAAGGGTGTTGAAGAAGAAGAGGAGGAGGATAATGGTACAGAGGTTGACACTAAGCCAATTGGTGGGAAGAAGAAAAGGGCAGAGAAGAGCACACCAGGTGTTTGTGAAAATGGTGATGAGAAGCATGGGGACGGGGATGATGGCGAGGCGGTTGTAAGTAAGCAAAGCCGTGGAAAGAAGGGAAAGAAGAAAGTGGTGGAGAAAGGCACACCGAGTGTTTGTGAAAATGTCGCTGAGGAAATAGATGTGGAGAAAGACACAACTAGAGCGGGAAGGCAAACTAGGGCTTGTAGGAACAAGCCTCTTGTTTCAATTCCGGAGAAAAAATTGAAGCCAGATAAGGCTTATGACGACAATGTAACATAATTTAACCACCCCATTTTAGTTTTTTTCTTTTCGAGTGCTCGATTCTTATTGATATCCCATTTTGATTTCTTTGTGTGTTTTGTTTGTCAGGGAATCAAGATCGATTCGGATATGTGTCATCAGTGCCAGAGGAATGACAAGGGAAGAGTTGTGAGGTGCACCAACTGCAAGACCAAGCGGTTTTGCATTCCTTGCTTAGGAAACTGGTTTGTAAACTTTGTATACCTTGTTTCGATGTTGCACTTTTCTGATTGCTGCTCTGCAGCTTATGCATATGGCTGCCTAAGTACCTAATGAGAGCATTGCTTAACAGAAAGGAGTCATCTTGAAAGCTATTGTTATTGTTTATGTGGTGATTAATGATTTTTTTGTCAGTGGAACCCTTAGTTTTCCATTAAACATTTACGCGTTTGTAATATGCATCTCCATTTTAGTAACATGGATAATGTGGTGTTTATACTAATTTTGGTTCTTGCCTGTTTTCGTTGTCAACCATCTGCTGTAGTTTGCTTGTGTTGCAAAAAGGTTATTTCTTTACCAATGACTCTATGAGAGGGATACACTCTTCTACAGTCTTAATTGTGTGATTAATCTGTTATTATTTTTATTGCTGTGCTTCCACTTCACTGATTTGTTGTTTAGGCTGTTTTCATTTTTCATTAAGACTGCTTTGACCTGTTGTCCTACTTAGACAAGTTAATATCACCCAGCAAGATTATAGCGTAGTCTGCTTAGTTTTCTTAGTATCTGTGACGAGGTCCAATAAGAATTGTAACACTAAATTCTGCCACAAGTGTTTTTGTCTTGAATTTTCCAGGGCTTGGGATCCTTGACAATGTTTAGTTTATGCTTGTTGGTTCCTTGACAACTATTTATATTAATTCCTACATGAATAGATGATATTGGAACAACTCTGATGCTTGTTATGTCAACCAGGTATCCACAAATGACAGAGGAGCAAATTGCTCAGGCTTGCCCAGTCTGCCTTCAGAACTGCAATTGCAAGACATGCTTGAGAATGGAGGGATCTATTAAGGTGTCATATTTCGTCTTTAACATATAAATGCTTCTTTCCTGTTTATAATACATATTAAATTTACATCTCTATTACTTTGCAGAATCAAATGAAGGATGAATTCAAAGTTAAATGTGAAGAAAAGTTTGAGCATGCCATGAACACGTTGATGACTATATTTCCATTTTTAAAGGAATTTAACCAAGAACAGATGACAGAAAAGGAAATAGAAGCCAAAATTCAGGGTATCATATTTTTTACTCTTGTAACATTGGCTTCATAATTGCCTCCATGTGAGTTGATAGTTTTTTGTCCTTTTCATGTAATTGTGTGAACAATATTCACAATCTGTTATTAGAAGCACCCTTGTATTTGTGGATTTAACTCTAGGGCTACTTTATGGAGGTCAATTTTGTTGCGTAGCTGACAGAAAATGTGTTCCAGAATTATTTTTCTTTCTTTTTTCATTTGAATATATAAGAATTTGATGTGTCTTGTTTTCTGGAAGTTCCATGTTTATTCTTCCCCTTGCTGCTTCGTACCAATAAATGCCTTGTATATACAATAACTACCATACCCTAAAGCTAATCTGGCTCATGTCCTGACATGTGGGTGCCGATAAATATTCATACTGAGGAGTGTTACTCTGTGTTTGGTCTTAGCTACTCATTGGTGGATGATTTTTGGTTATTGCAATATCCCAGTAGATGTATTATTAGTATTACAAGGGTCGGTCTGCTGTTTGTTTTCATCAATAATGAATTATTTGAAATTTGATTATTCCCATCTAAACATGTGTGTTGATGTTTGTTTTTATTATTTGTTTATGGTGGATCACCGTTCTGTAAGATAGCTCAGTTTTGCTTTCCTTGTAGGTGTGTCAATATCTGAAGTCATGGTCCCAACGGCATCTGTTGCTAAAAATGAGCGTGTATACTGGTAAGCTGTTTGCATTATGACTATTTCAGTCCAAGAAGGATTTTACTGATCCTCAATGAACGGGTTTGTTGTGTTGTGCAGTGACAACTGCAAAACCTCAATTGCTGATTTTCTCAGAAGCTGTCCAGTGTGTGGATATGATTTGTGTCTCACTTGCTGCCGGGAAATTCGTGCTGGACAGCTGCAGGGTTGTGAAGAGGTGGTAATGGATTTTGTTTACAGGGGTTTTGAATATTTGCACGGTGAAAAATCTAAAGGAACTAATGGAGGTGAAGCTGCTTCTGTCCCAAAAAGAACTAGAAGGCAAAAATCTTATGTTGAATCAGAGAAAACTACTTCAAGCACTGATGCCCCTGCTCGATCAGAGAGGACTATTGGAAGCAATTCTCCTGGGGTACAACTTGTAAAAAATAAGGGAAAGCTTGAATGGAAAGCGGATGAAAATGGCAGTATAAGTTGTCCCCCTTCAGAGCATGGGGGATGTGGTTCACTGCTTGAATTAAATTCTATCTTGTCAGATGGTTGGGTTTCAGAAATGGCGAAGGAAGCGGAGGAGGCATTAGCAAAGTGGGGACATAAGAATTCACCCCAAACTCTTAGCGAGTGCTCTTGTTCTGATTCTGTATGCGGTGATGACTGTGGAAGTGCTTTGAGGAAATGTGCTTCAAGAGAAGGCTCCAGTGACAATTTTTTGTATTGTCCGGATGCCAGAGATATAAAACATGGTGATTTGAAACACTTTCAGTTCCACTGGGCTCGTGGAGAACCAATAATTGTCAGGAGTGTGCTTGAAACTACCCCTGGCTTAAGTTGGGAACCTATGGTAATGTGGCGTGCTGTTCGTCAAATTCAGAACACAAAGCATTCCACATTATTGGATGTGAAAGCTATTGATTGCTTGGATTGGTGTGAGGTGATTTTTCTCTGGATAAACTAATTTGTTTGTTGATCTAACTGGTTGATGTTTGTCTTTCTTTACACTGTCTTTTATTTTTCATTTTCTTCATATTACTTGATTAATTTTTTTGATGTCCAGTCATTGTGGTATGTGCTTCAGGCAGAATTCAACTTTTGATACCTTTTTTTTTTTCTTTTTATTCTCACATTTCTTGAATTTGTTGTAAATATAATGCTAAAGATTAGTCATATTTGGTTTGATGATGGGTTGTTGGCTCTTTGGTTTTTATTTTTGTTATTATTTTTGTCTAGGGGTTAATATCCCTGTTATTTAAAGTAATATTAATTCAGGAGAACCCAAAGTTGTTGAGTTGGAATGGCTAACAAGCCTGTATTTTTGTTCAGAAATTCAAATGATTTACTCTCTAGTTCACTAGGGAGAGTCCTGATTTATTTTTTGGCTTTAAACTGTCAAAATAGATTTTTTATTTTTATTCTTTATATTGACAGTATTTAAGCACTGTCGATATCTAAGTAGAATATAGTTTTAAAAACTGTTTAGTTTATGAATAAGCTCCATTGTTTTAATCTTGTTTATAAATTGTTTTCATGTCTACAAATTCATACTATAGGTTGCAAATTTGCTCCGTTATTGTTACTCACAGTTTCTTCTTTTATAAATTGTAGGTTGATGTCAATGTTCACCAATTCTTCAAAGGGTATTCAAAATGTCAATTTGATCGTTCAGATTGGCCTGTGATACTGAAGTTGAAAGATTGGCCACATACTAGTAAATTTGAAAAGCATCTGCCACGCCATGGTGCTGAATTTATTCGTGCATTGCCATTTAAGGAGTATACACATCCGCGGAAAGGAGTTCTTAATCTAGCTACCAAATTGCCTAAGGGAACTTTGATGCCAGACATGGGGCCAAAGACCTACATAGCTTATGGACTTCATGAAGAATTGGGTCGTGGTGACTCTGTTACGAAGCTGCACTGTGATATGTCTGACGCGGTATGGTGGACCTTCTAAATTTGTGGGTGTATCATGTCTTTGTCATTGTCTTTTCCAACTTTGTTCAACTTACTTTTTTGCTGCCTTTGTTTGGTCTAGCAATTTATTATTTTAGAGTCGAAGAGTGAAGAGTCAGTAATGGTTATCTTTTATAATTTCTGTTCTTCTGGTGATTGCCCTCGGGATTGTTTTTAACTTATATCTGACAAACTATTGCGGAATGTTAAATTCTAATACACTAATGTTGTTTTCTGAGATTGATTTTTTTTTTTTTTTTTTTTTCTCTCTGAATTCTTATATTGCAGTGTACAAGTTATGCCCATTGTTGGAGCAATTAACTTGATTATGTTTTGCAGTTATAGTGTTTTATTTTCGAGATTGATGGCTTGTAAAAGACTTTGTTAAAATGTTATTTGTATAGTCGATTAAGTCGAACAGGTTTCTATTTATTATCATATGTGTCCTGTTTGCGATGCCTTGACTTTTAATTTTATTGCATTTATTTATTGTAGGTCAATATTTTGGCACATACTACAGAAGTTGCAGTGCCTACAGATAATCGTAAGGCCATTTCTAAATTAAAAAAGCAGCATTTTGCTCAGGATCAAAAGGAAATTTTTGGTGTTGAACCCAAGGACTCTAAGGGGGTTGATGGGTCCGGGTTAAAGAAACTTCATGATGGTGGCAGGGTGATAGAAGATGATACAAAGTGCTTAGATACAATGGATGTTGAAGCAGGAACAGAGGTCAAGGTAACTCCATGTAATCTAAATGGTAATGAAGTTGTAGCCTGTGAAGGCGTTGATATGGATCTCGATATGCCTACAACTGTACAAACGAGTAATGATGTTGCTGCTGAGCACAACACTCTGAAGAGTAGGATTTACAATAAAAGAAAAAAGAGGCAATCTAAGATTCCTGATGACCATGAAACAGAACCCAAATTGTCTAAGATCTCTACTGAAGGGGAGAACATTGGTAATGAACGAATGCTAGATGGACTTTGTAATAATTCATTAAATAATAATGATTTGAGTGATTGCACTGCTGTTTCTAAAGCAGAGATAGTTGATAGTAGAAAAGAAACTAACCTGGGTAATAATTTTGATTCAGTGCTAGATGCTCAAGAAGGTGATCCTGATAAGGATATGGAAACTAGGGATAATGGAACTTCAGCTCCTCCATCTGAGAACTTAGAAGGTTCAGAACCTCATACTGGAGGTGCTCTTTGGGACATCTTTCGAAGAGAAGATGTCCCTATGCTACAAGAATATTTAAGGAGACATTATCAAGAATTCAGGCATATTCATTGTAATCCGCTGAAGCAGGTACTGTTCTGTAGTCTGTGAACTTTATCAGGCTTGCGTGCCTTTTATCTAGCATATTGGCAAAATTTATCAAGATTTGCATCATATGTAAAAAAAAAATAAAAATAATTATGGATTCTTTACTTAATTCTTGTTTCTCAAGCCTTTCTATTGTATTGTCTTCGACTCTTCGTACTTTTCAAAAACAAAGGTTATCTTAAGCTGTCTGACAATATTATGTCATCGGTGGCCTTTTCTTGACGTGCCCTGCTTAAGCTTCATATAAATGCTTGTTTATGTCAATGAACAGGTCATACATCCTATTCATGATCAGACATTTTACCTTACCGAGGAGCACAAAAGGAAGCTGAAAGAAGAATATGGTAAGGTTCACAGTTTTTGCTTGTGACATCTCTCCCACTATGGATTTTTCTTTTGCTTGTGTTGTGTGTAGTAGATGTCCCAATGCCTACTCAATTTAGTCTTTTTTGTGCTACTGTGTAGGAATTGAAGCTTGGACATTTGTGCAAAATCTTGGAGAGGCAGTCTTTATTCCAACTGGATGTCCTCATCAAGTTAGAAACCTAAAGGTAGTGTTTTTTGTTTTGGGCTCGGTGTTCTTTCAAATTGATTTTATTTTTATATTTTATATAGCTTATAAGATTTTAGTTTTTAATTTCCTAAATAATTTAGGAGTCAACATTAATAAGCAGCAACAACAAGGTCTTAGTCCCGAATTGGGGTCGGCTACCTGAATTGTCAACAATAATAAGCAAACTTATGAATTTAAAAGTGAAAACAAGGGACTTAGGGTTATCGATTCCATGAGTCTGTCCTTCATGTCAATTCAACTGATTTGTTGAAACTCTCTTGCTCAGTCATGTATAAAAGTTGCGCTTGATTTCGTGTCCCCTGAGAATGTTGGCGAGTGTATGCGCCTAGCTGGGGAGTTCCGGGCTCTACCTCAAAATCACAAGGCCAAGGAGGATAAGTTGGAGGTATGTCGGTTGCAATTTGTGGTGTAATCCCTGCTTTAGAGACCTCAGGTTGCACTAAGCTAGGAGGTTATATTAATTACTTATAATGTTTTTCTTGATGCAGGTGAAGAAAATGACTCTCTATGCCATGAAGGCGGCTTTAAAAACATTAAGGTAAGTCGCTTTAGATAATTGAATCCTTCTTTCTTACTGTATGACTGATTACATTGTGATTTGTCATAATGGGTCTGAAATCTGAAGGTTGTTCCTCTTTTTTACTAGGACTGTAGACAAAATACTTTTGCTTTCTGCCTTTGTTTCAACTGACTTTGGAAACATTACCTGTTAGTATGTACAATCATGTCAATCGCACATTCACACAATGTACAACACTATTTCTTCTCGACATGTGATAGCGTAGTTTCTGTTAGAATTCTTATGCTGTAATATTTTTCGACACGTGATGTGTTATGTGATAGCGTAGTTCTTTCAGGTACCTTTATTTCCCCCTCCCCTTCAATCTTTATTGATTTACTGGACTGCAGTTGGAGAACTAATATATTTGTTGCGGGTGTGGGTTTGTCAGGCCTGAGGGGAATGATGGGTCGGACCCCGATGAAGATGTTGATTCAGATCCTGAACCTGAGCTCAAGCCTGAGACCGGGTCAGATGCCGAGTAATTTAATTGTAAAACAGGTCTGCAGTTAGTGGGTGTTTGCTCCTGCTAGTCACCAGAAAAAAAAGGCTTCTATTTTGTAGTGCCACTATAGTCTGCTGGGTAACTATTTGAGAGGTAGTCTGATTGTGTTAGTTAGGCCTGACGAAAGATTTAGGGCATTTGTGAAGTTGATTGTACAGATCTCTAATCTCAAAAGGTGGGGGAAACTTCATTTTGTTCTTTTGTTCACCTTCTACTTTTGTATTCGGATTTCGGAATGGAAGCTCTATCCTATGTAATTCTTCTATCTTGAATTCCCTCCATTTCAGTATACAAGTATTCTAGTTGTTCATTACCTCATTAGTCATTAATCGTAGAGTTGTAATGTCAAAAATTCACTCATCCCTTAAACTTTGTTTCTCATAGAAAAAAAAAATTGACACAATATATACTTATTTTAGTGAAAATTATAAAAATAAAATAAAAAATTGAATGGTTAAAGTAGGATATTGTTTAGATTCTTTGTCATTTTTGAATCTTCAAAACCGAGCAATGATAACACTGACAATGTTAGAGCAGCATTAAAAAGTGGTAATATCATGAAAATGTCTTATGAACAGTTGTTTGAGGCTAATTAGGCGTCTCCCAAAGAAAATCGTCGCCATGGATGAACTTCTTAATCGGGTCAGCAAAGACATTCATGCATATACTCTCACACCTTCCTAATCGCTGATAAAACTGCAAAAGAATTGTTTGGTAACTTTATTTAAAAGCTCATTTGAATTTGATAATTCAAGCACTATTACATTCATGCATTTTGTCTTAATCTACTTAATTTTTATTGGGTTATTATAACATTATATAATCAGTTCTTAAGGTCATCTCTCTCCTCAACACTTTGATTTTTCTGATCTTTTATTTTTTCTGATTAATTTTTAATTATGATTTTTACCATTTTGATTTTGAGGTATAACTTTGTTTTTTTAATTTGATAAAAATATCCATGAGTTAAAGTAGCCTGTAAAAATTGGTGGGTTTTTCGATTTAGTTCAGTTCTCTTAAAATTTATGGGTTTGGTTAAGTTTTTTCCGATTCAATTTCAATTATTTCAAAATTTTGGGGGTGGTTTTGATTCAATTTGGTAAAAAATTGGGATTTTATTTCTCTGCATTCTAAAGTTGGTATATAATGTTAAAGTCATCTACAGTTCATAGTTAAAAACCCAGGCCATAGTTATGATGTAAGTCCATACAAATTCATTTAACGACTATACTCATTTTCACTTTATCTGTGTTCCTCTTTTCCTGGATGTTATTAAACTGTGGGCTTTTAGACATTGTTTGAATTGGCTATTGTTTGTATTGTGCTGATTGTCCTTCTGATTTGTTCGATTGTCGTAATTAGGGTTTATGGTTTGTTTGAGTGTATTGAATCTGATTAATTTTTGTGATTAATTGCTGTTCTTGATATTGATTTTAGCATCATATTGAGAATTATGATTTTTAATTTAATTTTCTCTTAAGTTGGATTACTGAATTAACAATTATAAATCCCACTTAGTTTGCATGTTTAATTGCTCATCCTTTTTTGTTGTTTTGATTGATTTTTGGTATTTGCTGAGGGTTACTGGTTAAAGAAGCAAGGATCAATTTTTGTGATTTCTATAATATGATAGTTTCCTAATAAATTCCCCAATTTCAATTTTAAAGATTTGAACAGGTTGCTTTTGAATCGTGTGTAGATTTAATGGGTTGAGCGTATTTATGAATTCCGGCTTCCAATCTTATCGTCCTCCATGGAAGTGGCTTTTAAGGTAGCAATTTCTTGTAAATTTATATTCTGAAATATGATGTAATAATCAGACTTTTCGTTTGTTGTTAAGTCAATAGTTGGTATGGTTATGAGTGATAAAACATGCTGATTGTGTTTTCCGAGAGGTGGAGGTGGCTCCAAATTGCATTTTACTGTTTATTTGTGGTCTTGTGGAGTGAAGCCCCTTCATTTGCAGCTTTTTTCACTGACAGAATCTCATCTTTCAGAGTTTATAAATACTTTTCAATGATATCTGAATCAAATTATGTTTCACTGACAGAAGTAGTTATTCAATGTGTGGGGGTCTGAAATATCATTACAAATTAGAAATTATATGTAGTAATTTCAGTCTCTGTATCTGAAACAATGTTGAAAGTAATTTGCCTATAGCTGCCAAGTTTCCAGCTGTTGTGAGTGCACTACATGCATATATTGACACTTCTTTTCATTTTTTATCCTTGATTATACTTTACAAATGAAGAAAGCTAAGACTACTTATCTTGAAGTAGAGATGGATAAGGCTGAGAAATCATATATGTGTCTATTTCATATTATTTTGAATTTTATGAAAATTGTGTTTTTTTGTTCAGGGTTTATTTTCTTTCGTTTTATAATTTTTTAGAATTTTAATTTTGAGGTGAGGGTTGTGGGTTGTGACTTGTGAATATGGATAATTTGCTGATTTTTGTTGGCTTAATTAAACTACAACCAGATTAGATTTTTAAATTATGCCTATATATCTGAATTTTGGGATTATATCATTATAGGTAGAGATTTTGGCCTTTTGATATGTGATTAAATCTTTAGTTATTATTATTTATTTTTCTTCTAGAATTGATAGTTGAGCTGATGGGTTTTATAGTTCTTGCTTCAATCTGGGTGACTTTACTTTGTTTCAAAATTTCGAAATTGTAATTATTTAGTGAATATTTGAAATTTGAGTTTGTGTCTTAATTAGTGCAGTAATTGAGGAGTTTTATGGACTAATATAGTGTTCTCAACACATTGAAGGGTGTAGTGAGTTAAAGAGCTGGGTCCGATGTTAGATATCGTAATCCATGGGTAATTGCAAAATCTCATGTGCTAATCGCATAATCTCAAGAACATGATAATCTGGAGTATTTCATTTGTAATGGAGATGTCAGATTAGAAGTAAAACGTTGACAGTAAATTAATTTATACTTCATAGTTTATACTATTAGTGATGACAGGGCAGATGATCATATAAGTATAAGATCCCTTAAGTGATTTTGTATAGTACTTTAGTCATATTAACAGCAAAATTGTTCAACTTTTCAGCCAACAATTTCAAAGGAAAACTTGAAAAACGATCATATCTTGAATAAGGGGTCAAAACAATTACTGGTTTAGCTGATGGCGAGCAGGCCTTCTGAGTGAGATTTGATTGGGATAAGGATATTGATCTTCCTGGAGCACTAATAGTAAGAAATGAGCATGACAGGGAAGTTACCTAAGAACCATCACCTTGAAAGACATCCCGCGTCATGGTTCAATCCATTTTGTTTGCAACTTGTGGATTTGTCCTGCTAAATTCTACTAAAAAGACTGTCTTTTTCACCAATAAGGTTATCTACCATAATCACCTAGCTATTTTTTGTTGAAGCATTTGTAACAAATATGTTGTCCTTAAAGTTAAAACCTTTCTATGTTCGTTTATCATGTGTAGGCATACCTCCCTCACCAAACTCCTGCACCACTATGCAAATATCGAGAGGAAGAGCTAAAAATCTTGAGAGGAGAAGGGAAAGATCAAAATGAAATGCATACTATAATGTTCTAAGAGAGCCTGACAAAAGGTAAGAAATATGTCCGCCCAATATATGGAGGGTCTACTGAATATCCTTACCTCCAGAGAGGAAGAGCAAGCTTCCCCCGTACAAAGAAAGGTTAGCATGAGTTTACTTTAATCTTCGTGGAAAAAGTTTTGGGAGATAATACCCGCTAATATTAATCTTGTCTACATCATTTCTTTTTGTGACTACCTACCTTTAGTTGCTAATTTGCCTCCATTATATTCTTTCTACAATATACCTTGTTTGCAGATCCTCACACCGAAAGTAGGCTGTCACTAGCCAAGACCACACATGTATATGTTCCAAGAGATGAAAAGTTTCAGTACCTTAAGCTGTCTGATTTCATGGGTGATACAGTCAAGTCTATCTCATGGAGTTTTTGGTATGCTGGATGCAATACTTGATTGGACGCCAAAAAAGGTTTAACCATTTCAAAGAAGTGCACAATTTGTATGAGGGAGCAATTAAACTTCAAAATAACTCATTACATGACAAGATTAGGAAAATGGCCCCGACACAATTTCTGAAAGCACTGTTTAGGAGTGATGGTGCAGATTTTCTAAATTACCCAAAGCCTGATATTTTAAAGGGTAAGCATATTTTTAGATATTTCACACCAATTTCATACTGTTGTAAATTATTCAGTCTTAAGAGACTTAATTAGTTAATTATGGCATATAATTTTATTGCATTCTGGTGTTTTATAGTTTTGGGCAGAGGATGATTCAGTGTGGAGAACTGATGGAGAATTTAGCAGGCAGATGTTAGCTGGCATTAATCCTTTTATCATACTAAGTTTAGAGGTAATATGACTACATTTTTTCTTTCCAAGTCATAAAACAGGCACGACTTAATGAAAGAAAGATGCAACTTAAAATTAGAGAGCTTGGAATAAATTTGCAGCCCTCTCAATTAGAGTTAAAGGCTTAAAAGCTATAAAGCGATGTACCAATATGTTTTCAGTTTAACAAGATTTTTCCTTCCAATGCAGGAGTTTCCAACAGTTAGTACGCTAGATCCTGAATTATATGGAAACCAGAACAGCTCAATGATCGAAGAATGCATAAGGGAACCTAGATGGGTTAAGTGTGGAAGAGGTATATTAATCTAGGACAGAGCTTATCATATTGCACAAGTTTAAATCTGAATTATATTACATGACATCTTTATGAGTTTCTTTCTCTCTTTTTTTTTTGGGGTCTTTTAATACTTCACCCAGGCAATCCAGAGGAACAAGCTATTCATATCAGATCACCATGACATAGTAATGCCATACTTGAGGCAAATCAACACAGATACTAATTTAAAGGTCTATGCCACCCGGACAATGCTCTTCTTAAAGAAGACGGAAATTTGAATCCATTGGTAATAGAGTTAAGCCTTCCACATGAGAAGGGGGACAAACTTGGTGCTGTCAGCGAATTACATGTTCCAGCCAATGATGGTGTTAAAGCCCCCCTTTGGCAGTTAGCCAAAGCCTATGTTGCTGTCAACGATTATGCATACCACCAACTTATCAGCCACTGGTACTAACTAGATCTTTTAAATATCTTCACCTCATAGTAAATGCATCTTGAGCTCTAATATTAGAAATGATTTTTTCATTTATCGTCTTTTTTGACAGGTTACACACTCATGCAGTGATTAAACATGTAATATGCTGACAGGTTACACACTTGGCCTAAGAGTAAGTTGCTTTTCC